ACATCGTTGACAGCGAGAGAGAGAGAGAGAGGATGAGAATGAAGACGAGATGAAGACCGAAGAGTGAAATGGTGGGGAGGCGAGAGACAAATTAGGCGAATTAATTAGCTCCTGTTTTGATCGGTTGGTTCTTAGGGTATGGTGCGGCCCGCCCTCGCGTCACCCACCGAGCACGAGGAGCCGGCGCGAAGCAGTCTCTGGCGTTCCCTTCGTCCACGGAAATGGCAGCAATGTAATTAGGACGAGGAATGGGAGTGGATGGCCTGCAGAAGTGGTCGGTTTGAATTGTCGGAACGCTGCATCGAACGGTCGACATGTCTGGGATGCAACGAACGACGGTGATCTCGTGGCGCGGCCCAACCGGTGGACAGCCCATGAATGTCCACAGACGAAATCAAATCATTTTAAGAAATTTTTATTTCATTATCATATATTGGTGTGAAATTACGTTGCTGTCGATAATTATTTTGTATATTTCACATTTTAAATCCACTTAAAAATTCAGATATTGCTTGATCCAGATCCAGCGGTGGTGATCTAATCCTGGCAGTGAATGTTAAAAGACACGTAATGCACGCATCGCGACGCAGTTCATTTGCATGGATTACGTATTCGTAGTGTCTCCACATCCAAATCTTTCGTCCATTACCTACGGTGTTACCCCAAATGACTGCCACTCTCTTTTCCCCTTATATAGTTTAATTACACAGCGCATTTTACACTTGTTTCCACTGAGGCAAGAGTTCTGCAGAGTACACTGAGTCTTAGTTTGTGTTGTCTTGAACATAGGAGACACTGAAAGGACTGAGAAATCTTAAAGTATAACTACGAAAGAACGAGACCGTCTCACGAATCTGCGTTGCTTCTGTAAGTTTCGGGATCACCCTCTGAATTAAGGCCTGTTTCTTTTGCAGAAAGTTAGCTCCAGTCCTTGATCTGGATTCTTCTGCTACAGGAACAGCATCGTGTAAGTTAATTACCAGTTGACGAGAAGAGGCATTTGCATGAGGATAATGGATTAGATTGGACATCTATGCAATGGCCCAACCTTGTTTTGCATTAAATTACTCTTCTGCTTGTATGTTCTTGAATGTGAAGTTGGATCATCCATATATTGTATGTTCTTAAATTACTCACGGCTTCAGGTTGTCGAAAATCTTCTAAGAGTCTAGACTCATCTTCTCCTTCCCAAACTAATTCGATGACATTTAGTGCAAATTTGAAGTACAACACATCGTCAGATTGTGTGCTCTTAAATGTGAGGTTATATCAACTGGAAAGTGGTCTAGTTCTCTCCATTCTACTCCCAGGAAAAGAAGAGCATATGTCGTTTGATTGGATTCTTAGAGGTCCAGTGAAGCATTAGGAGCTACCTATAGCTCCGGGCATCCAATGGACGACGAGAGCTTCTCTATAACGTATCATGCAACTCTACCTTTTATGGAGGAACTATATATCCTTATGGAAGTAGGACAAAGGTGCTATCACTGAAAGCGGAGAAGAAAGCAAAAGTCTCTTATTAAATAAAGGGAAGAGCACTAGATCTTGTCTGCTTTATTGGGAAGGGGAGATCTTTCCTCGCATTTACACCAAGCTCGAATGCGTCATGGCCCCGAGAAAGTGAAAGAACACCCTCCTGCTAACATGGCCAAGAAAAGAAGGGCTTTCCTCTGTTTTGATTGATCTTGCAGGTGGTGCGTTCAAAGATCTCCCACTTCTGGACTCGACGCGATGCTGTAATCTTTCGGATATATTTCTACTCTCTCATAAACTTTTGTTTTCCCGAAAGCTATATTTTGTCGAAGGCCTTTCTTGATCCTCTCATGACGCGCGCGGCCATGGATGAATGAAGGGGCAGCAAAAATAATTCCTTCGAACTCGGCAGTAGTCTATAAAGTCTGACAGAGTACGGACGCCAGCATCTCATCGTCTTTGTGGCCGCAAATCTACTCTTCATAACATCTCTTCTACCTCTTTGAATCCAACGTAAGATTTACCTACACCAAAGTGTTCGAGCAGAGACACAGATTCTCACCCGGTCTAACTTGGTTCTACGTTGACTTGGTTTGATTTGACGATACAACGATCTCGACCGTCGGATCTGTAATGTGGTCCGTCCGACATAATCGTGACCACACAGTTAGAGAACACGTGGAATCAGACGACTGCGATGGATCGATCGATTGAACTCGTGGTCATCTTGCCAGGAGAATAGTTCTGTTCCGGTGCCACAAAAAAAGTCATCAGGTGGGTGGTACTGTTGGAGCAGTGATCCAGTTCTCTCTCTCTCTCTCTCTCTCTCTCTCTGCACTTGGAGATTGTAGGACCATGTTGGTGGGGCCTGGCCCACACTTGTATCTGTAAAATGAAAATACCTCGAAGAAAAAGATGAACAAAATGAAAGAACCAAATGAGGCAAAAGAAGGCAAGAATAATCAAGAGACAGATGCATTGGGTCAACTTTAGGTCAGAAGGGTCAGTGAATTTTATCAAAAAGAAAAAGAAAAGAAGAAAGCAAAAAGGAACAATGGATATTGAGAGAGATGGAAAAGGAAAGGAAAAAGTGATGGTGCATCTCATACTTAGTGGAAAGAGCTTTTTGGGATGATTGGTTCATCCATGTAAACACTATAGAGTACAATGTGTGGACTTATAACTAGTAGCTGAGGGTTGTGCGTGCAGCAATGGTAACAACTGGTCCTACCTCTCTGGGATCTTAAAGCTGTGTTACAAATCTTCACTTTTAGCAAGTCGACAGCAGTGTTCATGTAACATAGTGGATTTGCTTTTGTGGATCATCACATCTTTCTCCCAGAAAAGAAGGGGGAAAAGTTTGGGTCTCTTCCTCCTTCGTATCATGTTCATTTTATCTCTGCAAGCAAGACCCATGAGGTAAATCTTGACAGTGTTTGGAGCTGTGTCTACAGCATCATGCTTTCCTTGATGCTCCACGACACTGTGGCTGGGAAACCTTGTTGTCTTTTTCTCCAGAAAGAAAGCATGGCGGAAATGCTCTTTTTGTCATCTTTGAGCCATCATCCTTCGTCGCTGATCACGTGCTCTCTCTTTGATCTCTCTTCTTCTCGAGGCACCGCCTTTTATCCGACGAGGAGAGGCTCGGTTGCATGCACCTTACAGATTCTGCACAAGCCAGCCGGCGAAGCTCGCAATCGACAGTGGAGAAGGATCGGTTAGAACAGGAGATAGTGTAACGATGCACTCATAAAGCGGATTTCTCTGCTTGCCATTTCCTTTTCTACCTCTTTTTGGATTTAGGTAACGTCGGGGGCGTCTATGTAAGTAATGCTCAATCTAAGTCGCAGCTCTCATGTTGCATGAGCTTCTTTTCTGTAGGTACAAGAAAAATACAAACATGCATGCATGTATTCCCTCGTCTCGTCCTGAACAAGGCTCCTAGTTTGACTACTATTGCTAAGTGGAACGATGAGAGACTTGTAAGTTGCAGCAATCGACCATCTACGGAAGACAACCTAGTTTAATCAGCGAGTTGTTGGTCCGAGGAAATCGACAGCATGCCTCGCCCACGTCCCTCGCCACCCTCGTAACTCCGCTCGAGGGGGACAACGCTGTCTCTCCGTTGGAAAGTGAACAGCGAAAGCAATAAATATATTCTCGCTGACGGGGTCCAGTGTCTCCTTTTCCCTTGCAAGGTGAAGAACAGCGGTAGGCTTGCGCTGTCATGAACTACGTATGAACATGACAAGGAGGATTTGCAGAGGAGAATTAGGTACGCAAAGGAAGGCTAGCTCTTGGGATCTTAACGTCACAACTACTAGTCAGGGCAAGTCCATAAATTCTCATGACTCGTGTGGCGGCCAACTCTCCATGTCCCAATCCATCTTGTCAACTGTTCGCAGCAGCCTGACCTCTCATTGTTGGACTTGAGTCATGTTCTTCGAGAACAAATAAGTTGATAAGAAATGCCCCCTCTTGAGTGCATGTCTGAGCTTTCTCATTGGAAAGGCTACCTACCTACCCCTTTTACATCAAGTTAATCGATTCGATGCAAATAGGGCACTCGTTTCAAGTGGACGTCCACGAGTAGCAATCCTACTCTGAAGAATTTGTGCAAGTGACATAAATGGAGTTATGAGATGGAAGAAAGGTGAGGTTGGAATCGTCGAGTGAGTTGCTGCCATTTGTAACCATAGCTCCCAGGTCTAATAAATGGCGTGCCGAGAAAGGTCAGACGGTAGTGGCCAAACTTCTACTGGTACATGAATGAGTAGTGTTATGATTGATTAGTTTGTAATAGTCAAGTTCAGTAATTTGGATCGTGACATGTCATATATTTCGTCTTAGCTTTCACCTAAGACATGAAGCCAAAGCAGAGGACATCGAGATTGGTATTTGAGATGTGAAGAATCCAATGTCATGAGTTGGAGTACATGTGATACATAATATCAAAGGCCAAATGCATATATATATTCATGCAGATAGATTGATCAGATGAACGTAAACAAAGATACATGATAAGCTTTTGGATCGGGTAATGGATCTAGAACCGTACATGATTCGATAAGGTCATCGGATGTAGAACGAGGATGCAGATCCGGAATTAATTTCGGATTGGGGTTGGAATTACCTACGGAGCTCCATCAGCCAACAAGCCTGGATGTGTGTCATGCTCGGACTCTCCCGATGGAAGACAAACAAAGTGCAGAGAATAGAGAATATGTGACAGAGCATTGAAAAGGACAACTGGGCAAGGCGTAAGGATCAAGTTTGGGGAAGGTCAGGGAAGTGTGGAGCCTCTCTCACGTTGGGGAGGGGCTACTCCCAGACACAACCTGATCACTCTCCCTCTTCCGTCTACTACAGTACACGCAGACATACTGATGATGGACTGATTGTGGTCTGATGTGACCCTTCGGCACGCCTGCTGTTGACTGCTCTCCTTCTCTCCCTCTCCCTCTGCTCATCATAAATTCGCAGCAAGAATAACCCGTTCTCCCGTTTTACCGCTTGTGGCATACGATATGTAGCTGTATCGTTCTCTCTCGAGGATGATGACAATCATTCTCATAGATGCATGTAGAGGAGCAGGAGAGCATGATTTGCTTACAGGGTTTTGAATGTCTATCTGACGGGCACTCGTATGCTTTGGAAGGCATAGCGGACCATACAACATGACGAAGAACAAGTTGGGTGGTGGTGTGATGGATTCATGCAACCCTTCGAAAGACAGGTGAAGAATCTCCCGTTTGAGACGCTTACATTTGGAATTATCTGGTCTCTTTGCCTTTACAGGCGGCGCATATGCAACGCAACGACAGGAAGGAAGACAGCCTTCTTTTGTGGAAGAGAAATCCAGAGAAAATAGTTAGTTTTAATTACTAGTACATGAACTTGAAGCCTGGGAGTTGAATGGAGTGTTAGTAAGGTCGGGTCTCCTCCCTCTTTGGTACAGTAGATCAGAATAATAACTCTATAAGAAGAGTAGAAAAAAGGATTTCCCGGACACTCATTATCTCGAATATTGACATGGCATGAGGATCTAATAAAACGACAAGCATCCTCATCCTCATGATATATATATATGTATATGGTATGTCTGTCGTGTGTAATTGTAAGTGATTCATTGAAGAAGGAAGAAGTGACATTCACATATTAATTGCATGAGCAGTAAGTAAACGCCATTTACTACCGTTGTGCTGCGACTTTGTTGCTCTCTTTCCCTAGAACCCAAAGGAGAAGAGAACCAATAATATAGCAGTTATTACAAAGATGATTCTAGGGACAAATAAGTAGAATATACTATGAATGAGAGGAACACACAGCTTCCGGACATGAACACATTGCTTTCTTCTCTGTAAGCAGTTAGCTTTGGGGTAAGAGGAGAACCAGGAAAAGACAGTAAACTGAATCAGGAGAAGACATAATAAAGCAACACGGATGGAGATACATGTTTCCCAGAACAAGGAACACAAAGAGGCAGCTCATCGGTGCCTCAGAACATAGCAACCTATGACTTGATCACTTCATTACAAAGGAGAAGCTCCTTTACAGGACCTTAGCCCACATGGAGCTTCTAACTTGGCATGGCACGGACATAACCATAACCAAGAGATAGAAAGAAGAAACATTATGAACCGGATAGTGAAGGCCGGGGGGATCAGCTAAAGGTCTGGCCATATATCACCTTTGCTCGTGTGGTTGATGGCAGTCTTGTTCGATCTCTGATGATGGATCATCTTCCTCCTCCAGGCAGTTGATGCCATACGCAGCGTGCCCACGCCCAAAGGCTTTGATGTGATCCTTCAGCGATCTCTTGTGCTTGAAGTCGGAGCCGCAGATGCAGTACCACAGTTTGCCACAGTTCTTCTCGTGGGTTCTCCAATCTCCCTTCACCGCAAAGGCCTTACCGCACTTGCGGCACATGAAGGGCTTGATTCCATGCTTCCTTTTATAGTGAGTTTGGAGGGTCCTGAAGTCCTTCAGTGGCTTTGATCTTGGATGGTCTATGTTGTTCCTGCAGCCGGGAGCACAGCAATAGCAGGGTAGCCTTAGCATTGCCGTCGGTTGGATGCCTCTGAGAGACTCTGGCCCCTTCCTATACTGTGATCCATGCCCCCACATATGCATCTATCGTACAACACAACGGAAGACACACTGAAGTCATGATATCAAAACCATTAGAGATCATCAAGATCTTTTGAGAAAGGTATGTCACATAATGTTCTCCTCCAAAAGAAAACAAGGATAGGAAAAACCGGTGCACTTATTTCAGTTGCCATTGATTCTCTTTTGTATTTGAATTACTGGTTCGGGTATTATATCTAGCTAGCATAGCAAGAACTAATTGCACAAGAATTTGAAGACCTTAAAGGAAGGAGAGAAAAAGGGTTTCTAGCTAGCAGTCAATGAAGCTATATCATGTGAAGTACACATGTCTGACGGATGAGAAACAGCCCTTAATATATCAAGGAAGAATTATTCTTCCGGACATCAGCGGTCTGCACAAGATTTATACTGATATAAGATTGCGTCGCTCTTTTTCATCTGCGGCTGAATCTGAAACCTTGCTGGTTGGTTTGTCAGAAACAAAACTTTAGAAGGGCTCGCAAAAAATTTCAGAAAGATTTACTGCATGAAAACCCCCCCAGAGAGAGAGAGAGAGAGAGAGAGAGAGAGTAGCAGATCGCCTCTCAGTACTGTTTTAGGAAAAGCAGCTCATTTCTATGGCTTTATATGAACTCCAATTCCTGAGTCAGTGGACCGAGAGCTGAAGATCATGATTAGCCTTGAACTAGATGAGCCATCCTGAGAACTGAAAACCTTTCATTCATTTTTTTTTTGTTTTTTGAGAGAGAGAGAGAGAGAGAGAGAGAGAGAGAGAGAGAGAGAGAGAGAGAGAGA